ATGCCCTTGACCGGAATCGAACCTGGGACCCTTCAGTCCGCAGGCCTACGCTCTATCCACTGAGCCAAACCAGCTAGGGCGAAAATGCCTATTTTTTTAACAAGGGTTTTTTTCCTCTCACCCTGTCCAGTGTGGCTCAGATTTTAGAGCACTGGACCACCCACTGAAGGGTCTTGTGTTTGAATCTGGTCAAGTGCACATACCTGAATTGCAGGTTCAATTCCTGTCCTGGTTCAGGAAATGCAGGAGGCAACCAATTGCTGTGTCTCTCACAAGGATGTTTTCCTCTCACCCTTCCTCTCCTTTCCCCTATAAAAATCAATGGAAAAAATATTCTCGGGTGAGGATTAACAACAAAAAAAGGTGTGTTTTTCTCTCCCTCTCTCTCCCTTCCTCTCTACAACTGAATAAAAAATACATATATATTTTTTTAAATATTTCATTTTATAAACCACTTGATGCTACTTATAAACTTGATGAAACACATCTAAATGTGCTGTCTTTATAAAATTAATATATTGCTTAATTTTCTAAAAATGTGTTTTTATTGAGCTTTAGATTGAGCAGGAGAGGGCTAGAGATAGAAACATTGATGATTGATCAGCTGCCTCCTGTACTATCCCTACTGTGGTTTCAGCCCAAAATGTGGGCATGTGCCCTGACTGGGATTTGAACCAGTGACCTCTTGGTTCATGGGTTGACACTCAACAACTGTACCACACCAGCGAGGCTCAGTTTCATTTTCAAGTACTTCAAATATTCTGAAATAACACGAAGTATGAAGTAAAGAAATTCCAAAGTTAATTACAGCATGAAATAAGCATAGACCACTCCTGTGTTGTATATATTAAAATGTAATCCATGATGAGAGAAACTGCCAGTTTAAAACTTAAAAATCAGCCCTGACCGGTTTGGCTCAGTGGATAGAGTGTCAGCCTGTGGACTCAAGGGTCCCAGGTTCGATTCCAGTCAATGGCATGTACCTGGGTTGCAGGCACATCCCCGTTGGGGGATGTGCAGGAGGCAGCTGATCGATGTTTCTCTCTCATCGATGTTTCTAACTCTCTATCCCTCTCCCTTCCTCTCTGTAAAAAATCAATAAAATACATAAAAAACAACAACAACTTACAAAATCATTGGCAAAGCAACTAGAAATATGGCTGAAGGTATCCTGTCTCCAATTGTTTGTGAGGTATATTAACTGTTTAGACTTGTGACAATGCTTTTTCATTCAAGGCTTCTTTCCTTGATTAAGTTACCTGAAGTTTTGCTAAAGACCACTGAATTGAATGTGTTTGTCAGTTATTTCTGCATGGATTTCCTGGCAAATGACAAAGCAACATGAATTACTGCAAACCATGCTATATTCACTGCCCAAGCAGTGACTAGCTGTAGTGTCAACTGATTTCTAATAATGTCTTATTTTCCTGCCCTGACCGGTTTGGCTCAGTGGATAGAGCGTCGGCCTGCGGACTGGGGGGGTCCCAGGTTCGATTTCGGTCGGGGGCATGTGCCTTGGTTGCAGGCACATCCCAGTGGGGGGTTTGCAGGAGGCAGCTGATTGATGTTTCTAACTCTCTATCCTTTTCCCTTCCTCTCTGTAAAAAATCAATAAAATATATTTTAAAAAAATTCACTCATTCATGATCTCTAATGATCACGTACGAGATGTTCTTCTTCCAACTAAAGTGTTTTTCAGTCTGTCACATTCATTGGATTTACCTCAGAAATCACTCTTTAGACATATACTGTCCTAAAATATTTTCATCAGTGTTGATTGTATCTGAGGTTTATAAATATTTTCATCAATATAAAATAAGAGGTAACTGGTCAATAAATACAGCACTACATTCTTTGTATTGAGCTATTGTTCTTTGCATACTATTATCTTGAGGGCCTACAGGTTTTCCACAAAGCAACTACCTGTAAATTCTCTTATATTTAACTAGTGGCCCAGTGAACGGAATTTGTGCAGAGGGCGGGGGGAGTCCCTCAGCCCAGCCTGCACCCTCTCCAATTGGACATCCCTCTCACAATCTGGGACCACTGGCTCCTAACCGCTCACCTGCCTGCCTGCATGATCGATCCCAACCGCCCTCCCCTGCAGCTTGATCCCGCCCCCAACTGATCTCCCCTGCCGGCCTGATCTCACCTCCATCTGCCTCTGCCTTCCTGATGACCCCTAATTGCCCTCCCTTGCGGGCCTGATCTCGTCCCCAACTGCCCTTCCTTGCCGGCCTGATCTTGCCCGCAACTGCCCTCCCCTGCCGGCCTGGTTGCTCCCAACTGCCTTCTCCTGATGGCCTGATCTCACCCTCAACGGCCCTCCCCTACCGGCCTGATTTCGCCCCTAACTGCTCTCCCCTGCCTGCCTGATCTCGCTCCCAATTTCCCTCCCCATCAGCCTGGTTGCCCCCAACAGCCCTCCCCAGCCAGACTGATCTCACCCCCAACTGCTCTCCCCTACTGGTCTGATCACCTCTAACTACCCTCCCTGCCAGCCTGATCTCGCCCCCAACTGCCCTCCCCTGCCAGCCTGAGCTCGCATCAAACTGCCCTCCCCTGTCGGCCTGATCGCCCCTAACGGCCTCTACCTCAGCCCCCACCACCATGGCTTTGTCCAGAAGGAAGTCGGATGTCCGGAAGATGGCCAGTTGACCCGGTCTAATTAGCATATTACCCTTTTAGTAGTATAGATTATATAGGATAGGATTGCTTAAATGGGGAGGGGGAAGCCTTCTTCATCAGGAAGAGATGCTCTTGGCAGACAAAAATACATAACCCCTACATCGGGACTGATAGCCAGCCATATGCACTATACTGCCAAACCGGTCATTAAAAAATTGAACTGCTTTCTTACACCTTACACCAAACAGCTGTTGCCCTTAAAACCCCTCCTCAGCCCCCACCTTAGGTTCTGCCTTTGCAGTTCACCCAGATGAGCTTCTGACTGGTCGGTTTCTATGCCAGTCAGCATCAAAAGCTCTGCTTCCTAGGCAGCCATTGGCTCCTCTCACACTTCATCCAAATTTGGTTCTGATTGGTTGGTTTCTATACCAGTCAGCGTCAAAAGCTCCACCTCCTAGGCAGCCATTGGCTCCTCACACTTCACCCAGATTTGGTTCTGATTGGTCGGTTTCTATGCCAGTCAGTGTCTCCAGGCCTATCAATGGAACTGATCAGAGAGGCAGGGCTGATCAGCAGCCCCAGCAGAGGCCAAGAGAAAGAGGCCAGCTGCTGGCCAGGCCTGAAGCGAAAGAGAGGGGGAAGTGCTGATCAAAAGCTGCCATGGAGGCTACGGATAAGACCCTGCCTCTCTCTTTCCAGGCCTCTCTTTGGGCCTGATCCACAGCCCCCTCAGCAGTCACTGCTGTATCAGGGCATCCACAATAGTGGCAGTCAGTGCTGAGTCGCTGTTGCTGGGTAACCACAGCAACCCAGCACTGACTTCCCGTTGGTCGAACCTTCGGTCGTGATGTGATGACCCTGGCTCTTTATATATAAAGATAAGGACAAGTCGGGAAAAGCTTTACCACAATCGCTGCATTCCTAGGGTCTCTCTCCTGTATGTTTTCTTTGATGAACATTGAAACTTGACTTCATAGTGAAGGCTTTCCCATCTTTATTGCATTCATAGTGTTTCTCTTCTGTGTTCATTCTGATGGGTAATGAGATTATTTTTGCACAATGAGAATTTCCCACGTTCAGAACATGAAAAGTCTTTCCTTAGTGAAATCTCTGATGTTGCACGAGGCATATCTTTTTCCTAAAGCCTTCACCACATCCATTGCATTTGTATGGCTTCTCTGTGGTATGAATTTGTTGATGTATACTTAGAGTATTCTTCATGGTGAAGTCCATTCATGGCATATAGTTTATCTGCATATGAATTTGCAGAGGTGCAATGAGCATGCTTTTTCCAGCTTAGCCTTTGACACATTCATTGAATATTTAAGGTTTCTCTTACATATAAGTGCACCAATGTACACTGAGATCACTCTTCATGGTGAAACCATTTCCACATACACTACATACATAAGGCTTCTCTCCTGTATGTTTACTGTTGTCAGATGGCAGGGCTCTTTAAGATGAAGCCTTTCCCACATTCACTACAACATGAGGTTTCGCTCCCGTATGAATCTGCTGATGTACAATCAGCTTGTTTTTCACTGCAAAGCCTTTTCCACATTCACTGCACACATAGGGTTTCTCTCCCGTGTGAATGCGCTGATGTACACTGAGTTTGTACTTCTGAGTAAAGCCTTTCCCACATTCTTTACACATATATGGTTTCTCAGAAGTATGAGTTTGCTCATGGACAGTGAGACCCCCCTTCATGCTGAAGCCTTTTCCACATACATTGCATACATAGGGTTTCTCTCCTGTATGTGCTCGTTGGTGTCTGATGAGAGGGCACATCCAGGGAAAGCATTTCCCACACTCATTACATACATAAGGTTTATCTCCAGTATGAATTCGCTGATGTACAATGAGGCAGTGCTTCATTGAGAAGCCTTTCCCACATTCACTACACACATACAGTTTCTCTAAAGTATGAGTTCTTTGATGTACAGTGAGATCAGTCTTCATGGTGAAGCCTTTTTCACATACAATACATACATAGGGCTTCTCTCCTGTATGTGCTCGCTGATGTCTGATGAGAGTGTTTTTCCAGGTGAAGTCTTTCCCACACTCATTACATATGTAGGGTTTCTCTCCAGTATGAGTTCGTTGATGTAGGATGAGGCCACGCTTCACTGAAAAGCCTTTTCCACATTCTGTGCATGTATAAGGTTTCTCTCCTGTATGAGTTTTCTGATGGGTAGTAAGACTAAACTTAGTAGAGAAGGTCTTCCCACATAGACTGCATCCATGGGGTTTCTCTCCTGTATGAGTGTTTTGATGTTTAGTGAGACAAAACTTTGTAGAGAAGGTCTTTCCACATATATTGCACCCATGGGGTTTCTCTCCTGTATGAATTTTTTGATGGGTAGTGAGACTAAACTTCGTAGAGAAGTTCTTGCCACATAAACTGCACCCATGGGGTTTCTCTCCTGTATGACTTCGCTGATGATAAATGAGCCGAGACTTTTTGATGAATGCTTTACCACATTCACTGCACATATAAGATTTCTGTCCCATGTGAGTTTTCTGATGTATACTGAACTGTGATGGCGTGAGGAAGGTTTTGTCACATTTAGTGCATTCATACTGTTTCAGTTCATTATGAATTCTTGGATGGGCAGTGAGCCTGGACTTTCTAGAGAAGGCTTTACTACATGGACTGCATCCATTAGGTTTTTCTCTAGAATGAACTCTCTGATGATCAGTGAGCAGAGACATTTTCATGAAGGCTTTCCCACATTCAGGGCATATGTGGACTTTCTCAATGTGGTGAGTTCTCTGTTCCTGAATGGCCTGCGACTTATTATTGATGGGTTTGGTGCTGACAGGCAATATAATTTCAGTGTAAAATTGTTCATGGTTAGCATGCAGAATGGGTGTGTCCTCTCCTTTCAACTCAACAAAGTTCTTTATGTTACAGTTTCTGTTTTGGTTTTCAAAACTTAACTTTGATATTGGAAGTTTTTCATGCATCTCAAACATATTGTGATTTTGCTTTAATAGGAAATTACCTTTGCTCTGATTAACAATATCTCCAAACATACTATTTTCACAGCATGTTTCCAGACTCTGAATGCTTCGACTTTGCAAGGGATACTGCAGAGAATCACCAACTGTACCTTCTACTAGGACAGAAGAGAAAAGTGAATCATTCTGTAATCTCTCATAAACTTAGTTTGAAATAAAACATTACAAAATGCCTTCCTGTGGAGTAATTATTTACTGACAAGCCTATGTGTTGTAGAATAAGAAATAAATTTGGTCTATGTCCACAGTACTTGACAATAAGCTTGTTAAACTGTATAATTTCCTAAGTGATAGTATCTTTTGCTAAACATTAAAAAAAAAACACAAACCGTTTTATAACAGTGAGTTTATACTAGTAATACTACAAAGCTTCAGGATGGATCTAGTCACCAGAAAGACCAATTGATTAGTAAATTGGACTTTCAGCTCTACCCACTGACCTCTGAGAAAGGATGGAGGACCTAAAAATTAAAGCTCTATTGAAACCATTTTTTTTTCCCCAGCCGGAGTGGCTCAGTTGGTTGAACATCGTCCTGTGCATGGCTCAATTCCTAGTCAGGACACATATCTGGGTTGTGGGTTTGATTCCTGGTCAAGGAGCAAACAGAAGGCAACCAATCTCTCCTTCTCTCTCACTCTCCTATCCCCCTTCCTTTCTTCTCTCTAGGCATGTCCTTAAGGTTTCCTAGACCCCAAGGTGGTGTTTTCCTTTGTTTTTTCTTTTTATACTTATTCCCCCCCTCCCCTGTCCACAGTATTTCTTAATGGTTTATTTACAAAAGAAACTATTCCTTAGATCAAATATCCATCTTTCATAGTTCAGGAACATGGGACAGTGACAGACTTCCATGGAATTCAACGCAAAGAAATTATATGCATTCCAAGATCACTTTGCACTTTGAAAGATATCTGTCTTCCTCACCCACTCAAAATCTTTCAGAGAATCATAATTTCTGTAGAAATCTATGTATGCCACCATTCTTGGTTTAGCCTCAGCAAACTGACAGAAAGCTGCAACCCCCAGTGATACAATGATGGCTCCAACAATATGATATCGCAGACCTTTGGTCAAAATGCCACGTATCTAGGTTTTGTCAAAGCACTGGAAGACATGGTAGTTATATTCTCCTAGGGAGGCACAGGAAGGAAGGATAGTGGACTGATTCCTCCCATAAAGCCCAAGATGTTTATTTGGGCTTTTGGGGCAAGAACAAGGTTTCCCCTAACCTCAAGGGTCTTCTGGCTCTTATAATAATCAAATACCCTGTATACAAATTTCTTAACCTGCCCTAACCAGTTTTGCTCAGTGGATAGAGCGTCAGCCTGTGGACTGAAGGGGGTCCTAGGTTTGATTTCGGTGGAGGGCACATGCCTGCATTGTAGGCTTGATCCCCAGTAAGGGGCGTGCAGGAGGCAGCTGATTGATAATTCTCTCTCATCATTGATGTTTCTAGCTTCTCTCCCTTCCTCTCTGAAATCAATAAAAATATGTTTTAAAAATTCTTAACCAGATCTGATCAGATCCTGGGTTAGTGAACACATCATGTGCCCAATGGGTGGTTACCCAGATTGCAAGGGGACAGAAGTTCCCAATTTCAGGAATCCTTCAGACCTTCTATTATATACCTACTAGAGGCCTGGTGCACAAAATTCATGCATGGGGGGGTGTCCCTCAGCCCAGCCTGCACCCTCTCACAATCTGGGACCCCTCAAGGGATGTCTGACTGTCAGTTTAAACCTGATCCCTGAGAGATTGGACTTAAAACCGGTAGTAGGACATCCCTCTCAGAATCCGGGACTACTGGCTGCTAACTGCTCGCCTGCCTGCCCGCCTGATCGCCCCAACCACTCTGCCTGCCTGCCTAATCGCCCCTAATCACTCTGCCTGCTTGATCAACACTAATCACTCTGCCTGTCTGCCTGATTACCCCTAATTGCTTGCCTGCTTGCCTGATCGCCCCTAACCATCTCAACATCGCATTAATTATTGTATTAGGACATCCGGAATGATGTCTGGAAGGTCATTCGGCTGTCCGGTCTAATTAGCATATTACGCTTTTATTATTATAGATTAGTCAGTATCCATTATAATAAACTGGTAAATATAAGTATTTCTCTGAGTTCTGTGAGATGCTCTACCAAACTAATTGAACAAAAGAGGGGCTCATGAGAACTTCCAATCTATAGCCAGTTGGTCAGAAGCACAGGTGACAATCAGGACTTGTGTTTGGCATGTAAAGGGGCAATGAACTCTTAACTTGTAGGTTCTGATACTATTTCAAGGTGGATAGTGTGCTATTTGAGTTAAATTTGTAGGAAATCCAAGTTTAATAATTCTAGGTACAGACACTTGAAGCAAAATAATAAAAGTAACCACAGCCCTGGCCGGCTTGGCTCAGTGGATAGAGCGTTGGCCTGTGGACTGAAGTGTTATGGGTTTGATTCTGGTCAGGGGCACATGCCTGGGTTGCGGGCTCGAGTCCCAGTAGGGGGCGTGCAAGAGGCAGCTGATCGATGATTCTCTCTCATCATTGATGTTTCTATCTCTCTCTCCCTCTCCCTTCCTCTCTGAAATCAATAAAAATATATTTTAAAAATAAATAAAAAAAAATAAAATAAAGCAACAACAGTCTGTGAAATGTGGTTAAAGGAGCAATGGAAATTTAAGAAGTGGAGGGAATCAGGATATATAGGGTGGGGCAAAAATAGGTTTATATATGGAAAATGATACAATAATTAATAAATAATAATACAGTAATTAATAAATTATCAAGACCCCAACTAATGGTCTGGCTGGAACATACTGTGTTATGTTCCTACAAAAAGAGGATGGGTACCTTATATTAAAGTGTTAACTCAGCGGGCCCTGACTGATTAGAAGATAAACCTCCGATTCCCTGGAGAATCCCTGCCTGGTAGAAGTGTTTTTATAACTGAGGTCTTAGGTCATACCACAGAGTTTATGTGAACAATGAAATTTATGGCCCAGGACTGTTTTTGTGTGCCTGAGGCTTAGGAAAACACTGTAACCTTTTGATTTTAGGAGCTAGAGACACCAGCTAAATCTGCTTCCCTGGTAGGCAATCCTTCGCATGTGTCCCCAACATCATTGCTGGGAGAATTGAGAAATTTTTTAAGACAATAAACATTTATTATCTGTCTCCATCAGTCAGAAGTCCAACCATAGACTCATTGGGTCCTTTTCTCAAGATCTCAAGACTACACGAATATGTCAGTCAGATTTGGGATCTTATTTGGCACTGGGCCCCCTTCCAAGTTCACTGGTAGTGAGCAGAATTTAGTTCCTGTGGTTGTGGGACTGAGGCTGTCACCTCCCAGAGACAGCATGCTGTGTCCTGAAAGGTGACCCTCTCCACAACATGGCAGTTTGCTTTAAGGTTAATAGGAGAGCACCTCTGCTATTTCTGCTTCTTGTCTCTTAACTTTAGAAACATGATTAGTTCCAACAATGTAGCATGTTTCATGTGACTCCTGAATTTTTTCCTATATAACTTTTATCTTTAGTAACTTTAATCTGTATTGTTTTCCTGTTACAAATTGCAACCATATGTATAACAGTACACTTCCCTCCATGATAATGTCTCCCTTCTACATCACAGGCAAAGTGATCCAGTTCCTCACATTCCATATCCAGTTCTTTGAACTTCCCATTGTTTCACATTTTAAAAGGTCCAAGAAGCTGGCTCAGATCCCTCATTTGTGTGCTCAAAGGCAGCTTATCAAAGAGCCATTCCCACCCCTAAAAGCACAGTTCCAGGATAAACACCCAGTGTTCCACTGGCTATATTAATTTTCCATATAGTAATTTTTACCCTAGGATATGTTTATTATTTATTATATAGTACTTCTATGGAGAACAAAAATAATGATGTCTATTTATTTAAATTTTTTTTGTACTGCTGTTAGCTTTGAAAATATTAGGCTATCAAAATACAAGTTTTTTTAAAAAATACAACAATTACCTCAATTATAGGAGGCAATCACAGGTATGGAAAACATTAAAGAGTGTTTAGGAAGAGGACAGAAACTCTCTAAGCAAGATGATAGTGTATCACAGAGATCACTGAAAGAGAAACTGTAATTTCATGACAGGAAACTTGGTTACCTAGGCCAAGTGTCATCAGAATATGATGGGAAAATAATCAATTTTATTTTTATATCCTAGCAATATACAATTGGAAAATGCAAACAAGAAAATACTTACATTCATTATATCATAAAAAGGAATATCTCACTTAGAAAGAAATTTAAGGAAAGTGTAAAATGTTTATTTTGAAGCTTATAAAATGTTGTGGGGAAAAAAATTAAAGGCCAAATTAGATAGAAAAGCACCCAATGAGAGAAACAGCGATCAGACTATCAATCCCCAGAGGGAAAGTAGAGGAGGGTGGGGGTAAAGGGAAGAGATCAACCAAAGGACTTGTATGCATGCATATAAGCCAAACCAATGGACATGGACAACAGGAAGATGAGAGCATGAGTGGGGGTGGGGGAGGTTGGGGGATAATGGAGGGATGAGGACACATTTGTAATACCCTAACCAATAAAGAAATTTTAAAAAAAAAAAAAAAGAAGAAAGAAAAGAAAAGCACCCAATGATTCTGGACTAGGATGTATGTCATGGTTAAGATGGAATCCCTACCCTGTTGAGATACAGATTCAGTGTAATCCTATCAAAAACCAAGCTAGGTTTTTTTTTCTCCCCAGAAATTCATAATCTGATTCTAAAATTCAAGGGGAATGGAGGGATGAGGACACATTTGTAATACCCTAACCAACAAAGAAATTTAAAAAAAAAAAGAAGAAGAAAGAAAAGAAAAGCACCCAATGATTCTGGATGAGGATGTATGTCATGGTTAAGATTGAATCCCTACCCTTTTGAGATACAGATTCAGTGTAATCCCTATCAAAAACCAAGCGAGGTTTTTTTTTCTCCCCAGAAATTTATAATCTGATTCTAAAATTCAAGGGGGAAATTAAAGGATCCAAAAGTCAAAACTATCTTGAAAGAGAAGAACAGAACTGAAGGATTCACCCTTTCTAATTTAGAAATGGAATACAAAGCTATAGGAATTAAGGCCACAATGAAAATATGTATATATAAAATTTTCCAAAATTCATTGGGCTGATGGTTGCATTACTATATGAATACACTAAAAACCAATTAACTATATCATTTAAATGGGTAAGTTGTATGGTATGTGAATTAAGTCTAAGTAAAAGCATTAAAAATATGATGTATAAACAAAAGCCATTGGAAAATAAATGCACTAATAACATCTAAGAATGAAGAAAAATCTGAATTAGGAAAACTAGGAAGAACGTGATTTGAAGCCGAAATAACTTATAACCTAGTTTTGGCTGGAACTGTACATGTACCATGTGAAAAAATCTTTTCTCACTCATTAAGTAAGACAGTAGAGGCATTTAAGACGAGAGCTCAGCATGTAGGGATGCTAGGCTGAATAGCATTTAAAACATCTAGTGCAGAAAGAGAAACTATAACTTAAAAAGATGATTCCTGCTCTCACACACAAAATGAGAAGTCAGAGGCCAGCTGCCATGATGGTGAGTAAAATATATCAGAAGAAAGTGTACATTAGACCAGCGGTCACCAACCTTTCGGACCTCACGGACCACTGGTTGGCGACTGCTGTATTAGACAATATTGAGGGAGAAGTCAATTTGGGAGTCCATTTCACAGAACAGAAAGAGGGAAATATTCATGGGAATAGGGAAAACGTTAAAAAGTGATGAGAAGTGAGTATGAAGAACCTTGGAGGGAGACGAGCAAAGAATGACATAAATGCAGTTTATCATGGGGGCACAGCATCCAAGGTGGGTTGGATGCTAAGGAGGGAAATCACTATTTTCTAACGGTAGGAAGGCCCAGTAGCAAGAAAGAAGTGATGAATTCAAAGTTCTGACTTTCCAGAAAGGTCTGGAAAGTGGAATTTTATAGCAAGAGAAGTGATAACACAGGTAGAGACACTGTAACGGTGGACAAAGAAGATATGAGAATCTTATGAAGAAGAAAACTCTGCAAATAAAAACAAGATGTAGCCCTGAAGGGTCCTGGGTTAGATTCAGTCAAGTGCACATGCCCAGGTTGTGGGCTTGATCCCCAGTAGGAGGAAGCAGCTGATCAATGATTCTCTCTCATCACTGATGTTTCTATCTCTCTCTCCCTCTTCCTTCCCCTCTGAAATAAATAATGTTTTAAAAAACACACAAACAAACAAGATGTAAATAAAATAAACAGGAGTCAGAGCTCGGGAGAGACAAAAGGGGTATGATTTCCCCTAAACATCTACAAAGAAAAAGCATTCTCATACAAGGAGGGGTGGTTTTAGTTTCCTCATTCACTGTCACAGCTCTGATGCTGCCTGACTAGAATGTGACTTCCCGGCCGCCCGCCTTGCTGGCTCTCACCCCCTCACCTGGAGAGACTAGACAGTGGAGTCCATGCTGTACTGTCCACGGTTCTTCCTCTCGTTCCAACTTGAAGAGCGCGTCTGGTTTGCTGACGTGATACCCTGCTCATGAAAAACAAAAGAAGACTTAGACATACTAAATTGAGTTGGGGGTCTGTCAAGGGAGAATGCTATGTTGCAGGGAATGACCAGGTTTCACATCTGTAACACAAAGACTTTTCTTTCAGGAGAGGAGACATTATACCCTCTTGTCTGGCACAAGAAAAGGATCTGAGATTCTACCATTTCAGAGAACTGTAGTCAGTCTAAAGCAGCGGTTCTCAACCTGTGGGTCATGACCCCTTTGGGGGTCGAACGACTCTTTCACACAGGTCGCCTAAGACCATCAGAAAACACATATATAATTACATATTGTTTTTGTGATTAATCACTATGCTTTAATTGTGTTCCATTTGTAACAATGAAATTGGAGGTCACCACAACATAAGGAACTGTATTAAAGGGTCGCGGCATTAGGAAGGTTGAGAACCACTGTTCTACTAAAGAGTTAAGCAGCTAAGGGGGAAAAATCCACTATCAGGGCGCCTTTTGAGTGACACATGGGAACTGTCCTCACCCACTGACACCAGGTGGCTGTAGGTCTCCATCATCACGTCCCTGTACAGGTCCTTCTGCTCGGAGTCCAGAAGCTGCCACTCCTCCCAGGTGAAGCACTATCAGGGCGCCTTTTGAGTGACACATGGGAACTGTCCTCACCCACTGACACCAGGTGGCTGTAGGTCTCCATCATCACGTCCCTGTACAGGTCCTTCTGCTCGGAGTCCAGAAGCTGCCACTCCTCCCAGGTGAAGTCCACGGCCACATCGTGAAATGTCAGGGATTCCTGTAGCAACTCCATGCTGTGTAATGGAGTGATGTCCTTTAGATGATATGTGTCAAGGTAACACACATTCAAACCTGTAGAGAGTTTTTGTGAGTTTATTAGAGCCAAACTGATGACTACTGCCGGAAAGCAAACTCTAAACAGATTGAGAAAATGCTCTAGAAAATGGCACTTCTGCACTTTATTTTATACATTATAATCAAACTAGAGGCCCGGTGCACAAAATTCATGCACTTGGGGCGGGGGGAGGGTGTCCCTCAGTCCGGATTGCAAGAGGGTACAGGCCAGGCAGAGGGACCCCACTGGTGCACAACTGGGGCCAGGGAGGGATGCAGGAGGCTGGCAAGCTGGGGAGGGACCACAGGAGGGCTCCAGGGTGTGTCCGGCCTGTCTCGCTCAGTCCCGATCAGCTGGACCCCAGCAGCAAGCTAACTTACAGATCAGCGCATCTGCTCACTGGTGGTCAGTGCACGTCATAGCAACTGGTCAACCAGTCAACTGTCTGCCCCATGGTGGTCAGTGCATGTCATAGCGAGCAGTTGAGTGGCCTTAGCATATCATTAGCATATTACGCTTTGATTAGTTGAATGGCCAACCGGACAACTGGACACATAGCATATTAGGCTTTTTTTATATAGGAAGGAAAGATATAAGTGGGTTACATGAAATCCACTGGTAATAGATTAGGGAGGTGGGAAAAAGCAGGGGGGGGGTGTACTTCTAGGGTTGGAAAAAAAGTGAAATGACAAACTCATACTTATTTACATAAGTGGGTATTGAATAATTAACAGTCAACAATTAAGTCAATCAACAATGAGGGGATGTGTGGTCTTTGCTTTGGTGTGATATCTGTGCTTTGAGGGACATAGAAAAATGATATTACTTTGACATTCCAAAGGTATGCTATTATAGATGCAAAATGATAAAAATAGGCTCAGTTAAGGGAAAGACTGACTTTTGTCAGGGAAGATTGTAGCCTAGGACATGACTACTGCCATAAACTGCTTTTAGTTGAAGAGTTTTAATTTCAGACCAATCAACAATTAAATCAATCAACAATGAGGGGATGTGTGGTCTTTGCTCTGGTGTGATATCTGTGCTTTGAGGGACATAGAAAAATGATATTACTTTGACATTCCAAAGGTATGCTATTATAGATGCAAAATGATAATAATAGGCTCAGTTAAGGGAAAGACTGACTTTGGTCAGGGAAGATTCTAGCCTAGGACATGACTACCGCCATGAACTGCTTTTAGTTGAAGAGTTTTAATTTCAGACCATCCTTGTGGTTACTTTAGGTCTCTGATTTTGTAAGGACTCCAAGCAGGCCTCCCCTGAGCTTGACAGGTTTAGTATGTGGCCCATTTTCATCCACATATGGAAGAAATATTAGTCTTTCTGCTCATTTTCACTTTATAGGCTGCATCTATGGAGCTAATGGGGTTTTATTTCCATATACACTTGAATAATTACATGCCTAGTAAAAACAAACTGGGGCAAAATTAGGTTTTCTGTTGTTCATATGGAAAATAATACAATAATTAATAGGTAATAATACAAGAATAAACTGTTTGGTATACTCAGAACTGTTAACCTACTTTTCCCCCACTGTTTTGTAATTGTGCATTCAGTCACCCATGCATTCATCCAATTAGAAATACCTATAATGTTAAGAAGTTCAGCCTGGCCGGCATGGCTCAGTGGTTAAGCTTCGACCTATGAACCAAGAGGTCAGGGTTCAATTCCCGGTCAGGGCACATGCCTGGGTTGCGGGCTCGATCCCCAGTGTGGGGCGTGCAGGAGGCAGCCGATCCATGACCCTCTCTCATCACTGATGTGTCTCTCTTTCCCTCTCTGAAATCAATAAAAATATAAATAAGTAAATAAATACATTTGGAAAAAAAAAAGAAGTTCAATGTTCTTGTCCACCTCACATACACACAAACCATCCAGATGAATGGAAGTGGTTTTTTTTTTTTTTTAATCCTCACCAATAGATATTTTTCCATTGATTTTTAGAGAGAGGGAAAGACAGAGGGAAATATCAATGAGAGAAACATATCAATTGGTTGCTTCCTGCATGAGTCCCCACTAGGTCCCCGGTCTGGGAGGAGCGTGCCACCAATGTACACGCTCTTGACCTGGAATGGAATCTGGGGCCCTTTGGTCCGCAGGCTGATGCTCTATCCACTGTGCCAAACTGGGTAGGGTGGGGAGGTGGGTTTTTTTTATAGGCCTCAATAAATCCATTAATGAAGAAAGGCAAAGATTAAAAAAAATTCAGTCACCTAGAGCATTTGCTTCTGTCCTCTGAGCTAGCAATGGGGAGGCTTCCCCAGTGTGGGGCGTGCAGGAGGCAGCCGATCCATGACCCTCTCTCATCACTGATGTGTCTCTCTTTCCCTCTCTGAAATCAATAAAAATATAAATAAGTAAATAAATACATTTGGAAAAAAAAAAAGAAGTTCAATGTTCTTGTCCAGCTCACATACACACAAACCATCCAGATGAATGGAGGTGGGTTGTTTTGTTGTTTTTTTTAATCCTCACCAATAGATATTTTTCCATTGATTTTTTAGAGAGAGGGTGCACTAACCTTTTGTACCCTCTCTCTAAAAATTAATGGAAAAATATCTATTGGTGAGGATAGAGAGAGGGAAAGACAGGGAAATATCAATGTGAGAGAAACATATCAATTGGTTGCTTCCTGCATGAGTCCCGACTAGGTCCCCGGTCTGGGACAAGCGTGCAACCAATGTACACGCTCTTGACCTGGAATGGAATCTGGGGCCCTTTGGTCCGCAGGCTGATGCTCTATCCACTGTGCCAAACTGGGTAGGGTGGGGAGGTGGGTTTTTTTTATAGGCCTCAATAAATCCATTAATGAAGAAAGGCAAAGATAAAAAAATTCAGTCACCTGGAGCATTTTCTTCTGTCCTCTGAAAAGAGCTAGCAATGGGGAGGCCCTGTCTTGGTATGTTTTGACTCTTCTCTAAATTTCTGTTCAGAAATCTTCAAAAAAATAAAAGTAAAAATTAAGAAATCTGTCTTCAGTCAACTGTGACCCGGAAATGCTGATACCCAACCCTGCAACTTCCTTATGCTTCACCTGTTCTATTGTGACTAATCCTATTTGATAAAAGCCCAGCAACCGAATGGCTGAACAACCAGAATGACTGGTCGACCAGTCGCTATGATGCGCACTGACCACCAGGAGGCAGATGCTCAATGCAGGAGCTGCCCCCTGGTGGTCAGTGCACTACCATAGTGGGAGCTTCACTTGGCTGACAGGGATGATAGGCGCTCCCACAGTGGGCAGATCCCCGCAGGCCACGCCCCCCACCAGTGCACAAATCCCATGCACCAGGTCTCTAGTATTGATATAAGAAAGGTCCAAACGTGTAGATAATTTTAATGATTTCAACTGAGCCAAAGTGAGGACAGTTGCTGGGAAGCAAAAGAATAACGAATTGAGAAAATGCTCTGAGACTGTAAGTTTTGCACCTTATTTTATACATTAAAATCAAAGGAGAAGACATAAGAGAGTTACATGAAATCCATTGATGATAGATTAGGGAGGTGGAAGAAAGCAAACTGGGGAAATCTCTTTTTGGATAAAAAGTAAAATGAATAGACACATAGTTGTTTTAAATAGGTGTGTATAGGATAGTACACAAACAACACAGTAACAGTAACAATGAGGGTTTCTGTGATCTGCTCTGGTGGGAGACTGTGCCCTGAAGGATCTGGAAAAAAAGAAATTACCCTGACATTTCAAAGGTGTTATTCTAGATGCAAAAAGACAATGGACAGGCTCAGTTAAGGTAAAGACTGACCTGTGTTAAGGAAGATACTGGTGTACGATGACTACTAGCCATGACTGGCTTTTGGTTAGAAAGTTTTAATTTCATACCATCCTATGTGGTTACTAAGGCCCCCCATGCAGGCCTCCCCTGAGCTTTTCAAGTTTAGTATGCGGCCCCTTTTCGCCCACGCTGTGAGGAGGAAAATATTCAATGACTGGTACATTTTCTGAGACCTCATGCTGCTGTGTTCCTAATCACAATGCCCACACTATTGTTGGTGTCTCTTTATTTGGTCTCCCGCAAGTATTTATTCTTCAGGACAATAAAGCTTTAGGTTCTAAATGTGGTAAACGTATTCCTTTATTCCAGGGAGCTTAAGTGGAATGATTGAAAAAAAAAAAAAAAAGATGAGGGAAATGACAATATAAGGGCAAAATAATTTTTCCTTCTCTTCTAGGTTCGTTGGCTGGTCTAATAATTAAATTGATATGAGAGATTAACAGGGGGAAATAATAAAAAAAAGTATAATAACATGTAAACCTTTTGTATACATGGAAGTGACCCACAAACATTTCCTGAGAGAGAGAGATTAACATTTCCCAATGTGCAGACCGAAGTGTCACAATGACCCAGTTCTGTCTTTGCAGGGCAAAAGGTGCCACAGAGGGTATGTGGCAAACGGGCGTTGCTGCTTTGATAACTGGGTCTGTAGTTAGTGAACTAGTGAATTACTAGTTAGAAAACAGGATTGGCCCTGGCCGGTTTGGCTCAGTGGATAGAGCATTGGCCTGCAGACTGAAGGGTCCCCGTTTGATTCCCGCCAAGGGCACATGTCCGGGGTTATGGGCTTAATCCCCAGTAGGGGGCGTGCAGGAGACAGCCGATCAATGATTCTCTCTCATCATTGATGTTTCTATCTCTCTCCCTTCCTCTCTGAGATCAATCAAGAAATATATCTTTAAAAATACAAACAAACCCCAATCGGTTTGGCTCAGCGGATAGAGCGTCGGCCTGGAGACTGAAGGGTCCCAGATTCGATTCCGGTCAAGGGCATGTACCCTGGTTTCAGGCACATCCCCAGTAGGGTGTGTGCAGGAGGCAGCTGATCCATGTTTCTAACTATCCCTCTCCCTTCCTCTCTGTAAAAAGTCAATAAAATATATATATTTTTAAAAAACAAACAAGCCCTAACCGGTTTGGCTCAGTGGATAGAGCATGGGCCTGCAGACTGAAAGGTCCCAGGTTTGATTCCGGTCAAGAGCATGTACCTCAGTTGCAGGCACATCCCCAGCAGCTGATCGATGTTTCTGACTCTCTATCCCTCTCCCTTCCTCTCTGTAAAAAAAAATCAATAAAATCTATTTACAAAAAAAAAACAACACATTTAAAACAAACAAACAAACAAACAGATTTCCACCCAGCTGGTGTGGCTCAACGGTTGTGCATCGACCTATGAACCAGGAGGCCCCAGTTCAATCCCCAGTCAAGACACATGCCTAGGTTGCTGGCTCCATCCGCGGTAAGGAGCATGCAGGAGGCAGCCAATCAATGATTCTCCCTCATCATTGATGCTTCTATCTTTCTCTCCCTCTTCCTTCCTCTCTAAAATCAATATAGATTTTTTATTATAAAGAAACAAACAAACAAACAAACAAACAAAAACCAGCAGCCCCGGTCCTAACCTTAAAGAAACACCAGGGGTCCTGCGCGTCCAAAACTTCTCCCTCATCAGCCTCTCGGGATCCCAGACGCGGATCACAACGCCTTATGCATCGGGAACAGGGCCAGACGCTCCCATGCAGGGACCAGCGCCGGGTATTAAACCCCCAACCTGAACCCGACACCGCGATCATCCTAAACGCCTCCGGATTCCTCACAAGTGGGGTCCTGCAGGGAACCCCCGGCAGGACACGGGAGTTAACCTCCACAGACTATTAACCGGGCAGCGACCCCCAGGACACCCCGACCACCGACACCCGCCTCTGGCGTCCAATCCCGTGGCCATCTGGCTCCCCTCAGCTGCCTCCGCCCGGGCTCTTCTCCCTCCCCCTCCGACCCCGGCGACAATTCCATTCTCCACACACCACGCCCACACGCCACCCTGTGAGAAACAAAACTTCGACAAAAACGAAAACATTTCCAGGCACAAAACCACACACTCACCTGAATGTTCCCCCCGGGCCCACCGGGGCCGCGCCAACGTTTTTTTGTTTCCGCAAACGGTTTCGACTGCGGCACTGGTCCTGCTCCGGCTACGGCGGCCTACAAAGGAGGCGTTGGAAGGAACGCAGACAACCACTTCCGGTTTCCGTGGGCAATATGGCCGCGCTCGCATCGTGGACTGGGGGCCGCCATGTTGGAATTCCTGACTGCCGCCCTAGGGGCCGCCATGTTGGGACTCCTGACTGCCGTACAGAAGGCAGCGCCGCGCTGTGGGACCGGGAGCGATTGATGGCGGGAAAATGGAAAGGTACTGAAAGGACCCCGTTTTCTGGCACTTCCACTCTGGTGAGAAACGGGTCCGTTTCCAGAGCTTCGCGATGCAAACACGGTGCGACCTGAGTTGCCTTCAGAGGGCTGCGCCGGGGAGCATAGAAACACGTTTCCTAACGAACAATTAGGAGTTCAGATGTCACTGTCGCAGCGGAAGAGGCGCTGCTAGGGAAGCATGGTGGTCCCTCCTTTGGAAAACTGCTGTTTGAACTACTGTTATTTTTTTTAAATATATTTTATTGGTTTTTAAATATATATTTTATTGATTTTTAAAAATATATTTTATTGATTTTTTACAGAGAGGAAGGAAGAGGGACAGTGAGTCAGAAACATCAATGAGAGAGAAACATCGATCAGCTGCCTCCTGCACACCCCCTACTGGGGATGCCCCCGCAACCAAGGCTCATGCCCTTGACCGGAATCGAACCCGGGACCCTTCAGTCCCCAGGCCGACGCTCTATCCACTGAGCCAAACAGATCAGGGCCTGTTATTTTTATTTATTAACTCATTGGTCACTTTTTAAAAATATATATTTTATTGATTTTTTACAGAGAGGAAGGGAGAGGGATAGAGAGTTAGAAACATCGACAAGAGAGAAACATCAATCAGCTGCCTCCTGCACACCTACTGGGGATGTGCAGCAACCAAGGTACATGCCCTTGACCACAATCGAACCCGGGACCCTTCAGTCCGCAGGCCGATGCTTTATCCATTGAGCCAAACCGGTTAGGGCTACTCTGTTATTTTTAGATAGTCTCTTAGTCTATAGCTGTTTTTATAGCTTGAATAATAGACAAGATAAACTTAACTGTCTGACCTTGCAAGCTAGCCATCTAAAGGGGCTGATACACTGATACTGATACTAATTCCCATCTTCATGACAAGTGTTTGTTCATCCAAGGTTACAGGTGTCTGTATAGATATGATATGTACTCAAAGTTACAAGTTGTCTGTATAGATATGACAGGTGTTTGTTAGATACGATATATACTCAAGGTTACAAGCTGTCTGCCAAAATAACTTACACAAAGAACTAGAAGGATATAAATCAGAAATACTCCCTCTGTTGTTCGTTCAGAATTTGACAGAGGTCATCTGCTCTGAACCTGCACGCAATAAAGATGACTCCTAACAAATGGGCTGATTAAGGTGTCTTGTCCAGCTCGCTGATTTACAACACTAGAAAGGAACAATGGAAGATAACACATCTGGTAAACAGATACCCACTGATAGCTCTGGCCAGAATAAAATTGGTCAGGATATGATATGTACTCAAAGTTACAAGTTGTCTGTATAGATATGACAGGTGTTTGTTAGATACGATATATACTCAAGTTTACAAGCTGCCTGCCAAAATAACTTACACAAAGAACTAGAAGGATATAAAATAGAAATACTCCCTCCTGTTGTTCGTTCAGAATTTGACAGAGGTCATCTGCTCTGAACCTGCACGCAATAAAGATGACTCCTAACGAATGGGCTGATTAAGGTGTCTTGTCCAGCTCGCTGATTTACGATACAACACTAGAAAGGAACAATGGAAGATAATACGTCTGGTAAACAGATACCCACGGATAGCTCTGGCCAGAATATAATTGGTCATAGTGGTTGTGTGTGTGTTCTCCCTTCCTCTCTGTAAAAAATCAATAAAATATATTAAAAAGAAAAACAAAAACATTTTCAGAAACTGGTAGTGTGAGGCTGGCCATTCCCAATTAGGAGAAAAGAACTGCTGGGATGAGTATAACTTGTCATTGTGGGTAGGAACTCAGAAAAAAAGCCACTAGCGTGAGGCCAGTAAAAGTCTGGAATCGATGGCAAAGACGCAACCCGAATCCACCCCATTACAAGGTGATGGAGCTGTAATACAGGACTTAGGGTTTGCAAGAATGTCAAAGGGAGGTGTGCAGTACAGAGGGTGTGGCTCAGATGGTTGAGCAACCAGGAGGCCTTAGGTTAGATTCCCAGTCAGGGTACATGCCCGGGGTAGGGCTTGCAGGAGGCAGCCAATCAATGTTTCTCACAGATGTTTCTATGTCTCTCTCCCTTTCCCTTCCTCTCTCTGAAATATATATACATATATTATTGACTTTTTACAGAGAGGAAGGGAGAGGGATAGAGAGTTAGAAACATCGACAAGAGAGAAACATTGATGAGCTGCCTCCTGCACACCCCCTACTGGGGATGTGCCTGCAACCAAGGTACATGCCCTTGACTGGAATCGAACCTGGGACCCTTCAGTCCGTAGGCCGACGCTCTATCCACTGAGCCAAGCTGGTCAGGGCAATAAAAGTATATTGTTAAAAAATGAGTTGTGCATCAGGCCATTGTTAAAAAGGCATAATCCTAGACCCCAGTTCAGTACTGGGGTTTCTGGTTTAGGGGGTGTGGAATCTGACTAGGGAATTTGCATTCATTTACTTTTCTGAAGCAGGAAGCCTATTGTAGAAAATCATTAGAAACAGCCCTGTATTGGACTTACCTGGTGATCACTTTGTACGTTATATACATGTCTAATCACTAATTTGTATACTTAAAATTAGTATAATGCTGTATGTCAACTGTTAATGAAAAAAAGTTTTTTTAACATATATTTACTTATTTCAGAGAGGAAGGGAGAGGGAGATAGAAACATCAATGTTGACAGAGAATCATTGATTGGCTGCCTCCTGCACGCCCCCCACTGGGGACCAAGTCCCCAACCCTGGCTATGCCCTGACTGGGAATCAAACCATGACCTCCTGGTTCATAGTTTGATGCTCAACCACTGAGCCAACGTTGGAACCGCAACCCAAGCACCAGCCCAGGGTCCTGGGTGTCCAAAGCGTCAGTCTCATGAGACCCTTAGGACCACAGACACTGATCACACACCTGATTATTCCCAAACCTGAACCAGGTGCCCTCATGTGATGACCGACCACCCATGGCCCATCATCATTAAGCCCTATATTGAGTCCTGACACAGAACCTGACACTGCAATCATCCTAAATGGCACCTCCATCCATTAAAAACAGAGTGGCCCGCAAAGACCATGATAGTAGGGACACGGTCATTGATCTCTACAGACCCTGAATCGCCTGATGACCCCAAATGTACCCCAACCACAGACAGGTGTATCACCTCCTTCCTTGCAAATACCTTGGTGCTCCTTTCACCTGACCCCCCATGATAATTCCATAGGCCAGGTACACCACTTCCACCCTGTGATGTCATGTACCCTGTTAGAGACAAACCTCATCTGAGACAAAAATTTTTCTAGAATTTTCAAAAAATGAGAACACATTGTTTAATGTGGTAAAATACACATAAATTTTTACCATTTTACAAAATATATTTTTATTGATTTCAGAGAGGAAGGGAGAGGGAAAAGATCGAAGCA